AGCTTGGCTAGCTGCAGCCAGCCTTTCTTTAGCGTATTCCACATTTTCTTCTTTAGTTAGTTCATCCTTCATTTCCACAACCTACAAGATCCGCAGACTGGATCATCCCCGAGCACGAAAACAAAAAAACTCAAACCTTCTGGCCTGCCGTTCCTGCAGCGTCTTTAATAGCACCACCGGCATTGCTCAGCTTTTCCTTCGCCATATCGGTATATCCAGAGGCTTCCTCCTTGACTTCTTCAGCCTGTTCTTCAACCTCTTCAACCTGAAAAAACGTTTTCACGATATCTTGGCCTCCTGCTCATGCTTAAGTGCCAGGTCGGGAAGATTTCGGAATGAGATCTTACCTTATCACCACCCAGGCCTGCAACATTTCTCAGGGCGCTTGCGGCATTACTCAACTTCTCCTTAGCCATTTCCCAGTATCCAGCATTTTCAAAGTCGTCTTTCATTTCTTCAGCCTTTAACAACCACATTTCATAAATTTAGCTGTCTTCCCTTCTAGGAAAGGTATTTGACTGCGCTCACCTTCCCACGAGCCTGTCCTGCAGTATCTCGGATGCTTTCTCCTGCTTCGTTCATCTTTTCCTTGGCTGCTTCCACGTATTCGTTGTTATTCAAGTCTTCCATGAATTCTCTGGCCTTCAACAAAAAAATTAGCATTTTTGGTAGATTTGAAGCACTTGGCCGTATAGTTCCTCACCTTTCTTCTGGCCTCACATGCGGTCTCCTTGGCGTTTTCTCCAGCATCGTTTAACTTCCTTTTAGCAGTATCCATGTAATCACAATCGCTGATATCATCGACAAATTCTTCAGCCTTCAAGAACCATGAATCATTTCTCCTTCGTGCCCTGTTCTCCCCACTAAAACCCACAAACCTTATCTCTGGCCTTTTCCGCAATGTCTTTCGATCGTCTTCCAGCTTCATTCATTTTTTCACTGAACTTCCTTGCACCTTTGCTACAGGTTACGTCGTCTTTCAGTTCTCCAGCCTTCAAAAACAACTTTGAAATCTTTAATGAAGCCAAATGCAACGGTATGTATACCTTATTACTGGCGTTCTTCACAGCGTCTCTGATACCAACATCGTCCATCTTCTCCATCAGCTTATCCCTGCTCTCCTTAGAGAGAGGACACTATAATACTTGAAACATAATATTGTAACGTTTGTACCGCTTTTGTTATGGTCTGATCCTACAATAAGATTCTGCACTGGCAACGGTATTTAAAAGCAAAGATAGTCTTGGGGTAGACCCTTCCTGTACGAGGGATACGCCTTTCCTCAGGATAGGCAACCGACGTACAAGTCTGTGCTTCTATACGGCTAAACGAATCTGGTACCATTTCATAAGCCTGCAGCCTCAGCTCATTGTTTGCCCTAGACTGGCGTGGGTTGGGATTCGATCCTGTGACCATGTGAGTGTGATAGAGCGCCACTTGCCACTATATCACTTGCCCTTTGGGTTAGTGACACAATGAACCAAACTACATACCACGAGAAGAGCTCATGAAGTCATAAGTAATCTGAGCGTTTACTAAAAATAGCTAATACTAAAAATAGCTGTGAATTTAGATGGATAAAAATAGACTGAACAGGTAACACCAGAACTCCACCGAGTCGCTACATCGTAAACAAAAACATTCTCTTTTAATAAAGAAAGGCCAGGCTATTTAAATGAATGAACTTCGAACCACATCCATTTCGAGAGTTCTACGATATGCGGACGGGGTGGTTGCTAAACCAACCAGTGACTAGGAGCAGTTCAGGATAAAGGAAGTGAATAAAATCAAATCCAGCAGATTGAGAGACGGTGAGGAAGCCAAAATGTGCAAAGATTCTCATTTTATCAAACAAAGTGTTGAATTCACAACAAAATTTTGAATTCACTACTCACCTCATCCCTGTTACCAGTAAAAGATTCACCTCCTGCACCACCACAGGAGGCTCGTGCGAATATCGTTAAGGCGATAACGAGTATTACAGTAAACTTCATGTCTGCTGCAAACCGCCTCCTTTCTCGCTTTATATACCGTTACTGCAAACCGCGGAGCTTTAGTCACGAGGAACAGCCCCGCCTACAAATGATGAATCAAACCGTGGACGTAAATAGACGGAATTCACGTGCTGCAGACGTGTAACTCCGCCCAGTTGTGGTCTTTGAAAGACATCATCACGCGCAGGGCCTGCGCGATCTGCACAGGAAGCAACATCAACATTCAGAGGTTGTTTACTACTTTTGCTTGGAAAACAAGTTGGCCATCGAGGTCGGGTCTTTGATGCCTCGTGTTATACTGGCTCGTGACAAATGTTCAATGACCAGCAGACTTTGAAACCACAGATATGTGAAAATGGTAAAAACCGCCCGGGGGACTGCTACTGTCGCGTCCCCTTCCTTTGCAATTTTTCAATATCAAAATTTTTGAGGAATCCCTTTCAAATTAGGAATGATTCAATGTTTAAGACACACACTCTGGTGAAGATCTGCCGAAGACTTGGTTGGAGTGCTATTGAGCGGTTCATGAGGGCCAACACCGGTGGATAGTACCTAGTCAGCCTCAACGCAAGATGTACATTCAAAATAAGAATGTAATGTCTGGTGTCTAGTTCTAGAATAAAGAAATTTCTGCAAATTTCATCTACAACACTCTTTCGTAGGCTTTCTCTTCCGAAGGTGGCCGAAGGACCTTGAATTTGCGGGGTCCTCTGTGTAGCGCGTCAAGGGAGCATGCCCTCACAACGAAGGACCAGCTTGCCCAACAGCACTCGTGCGCATGATAACCCTCAGTCAAGATCTCGGTATTGAAAGGGATAAAGAGCACGGCGCATGGAATCGCCATTCATCTCTTTTCATCTTTTTATATCCTTGGAGCTGAGATCGAAAACGTCCACAGGCCTGCCCCTGTATCTCGTCCAGTATTCCGCTTTTAAACTCATTGATGTAGTGGTGCCGAGTCCAGCTGCCCGACTCAGTAGTCCTGAAGAGGCCATTCCGCTCTCTGTCACCTACGTACTTCACTTCATGCGGTCCACCCGTCGGGTGTGCTACAGACTTTGTAGACTTTGAAGCAAGATGAAGAACGGCCAGGAATTACTAGTGGATCAAGTACCATCCTTGCTCCTTAACTGACCGAAACGATTTGGATAGCGGTTTCCCGGAATACTGCCAAAGTGGACGGCAATAACGTAGGAATTCGTCCCTATTAGGAATCATTGTCATTGGTGTAGTTACCTTCCCAATCTTGCCGAGAAGACAAGAAACATATCATTATTTCGTTGTTGGATATGGAATTCATGAGAGATCCAATCAGTAACCGCCCGGTCCAAAGGTCGCGACGAAGTCGCATCAGTGTCCAAATATTGCCCTTTCAACAACGTGTTGAGTGCACCTGACCACATGATCATCCTGCTTATGAGAAGCAAAAGTCTCCGGGAAGAAAGCAAAGGGAAAGAAAAAAGAACAATCGAAAGGATTTTCAGTACTTGTGGGAAGGTAAGTCCCTCATTCATCTCTTTATTATGTGATTAATTAGATACTACCTTTAAATCATGAGGGGATCACCTGCTCGAAAATCGAATAGCCGAGTGGTTAGGAGTGTAGACTCATTTCTAAAAAACGAAGAGATCAGTTCCTATCATGGTAGAAGCCCTTACCTGCAAAATATGCAAAAACTAGTCGGTACCTACTTCAGACCCAGGTTGACGGCCAAGCTGATTCAGAATCTTCGTCACAAAAAAGCATTGAACTAACAAGAGGTTTCAAATGAAAATCTGCGAAGTCACCCGAAAGTGTCGTGCAAAACCTCCGCATGACTTCTATGGACAGTATGCGATGGTTACCTAGAAGAGGACCAACTCTGCCAAAGAATTCAGCTCGAATTCGGACGTGATTCTCGGGTGGAACATCGATGGTCTGATGGAGTGCAGGAACACTCAAAGTTAAAGCCTCTAGGAGACACTCTGGAAATGAGCAAAAGATAGAGAAAATGGGAAAGGTATCAACTTCTACCACAACGGCAACGTAACTCAGGGATTGCGGCCATATCGGTAACGGAATCTCCCAGGGACTCTGTCTAGGAACAGAAACCGAGTCATGACTGCGATGAGACAACTAAGTGTTCTGGACAGCAGTATCCGTGTAGAAGGCAGCTATCCCGAACACAAAAAAGATGAGCCCTATCTAAACCTTTACAAAGACATGAAATCAGTTTCGGGAGGGAAACATATTATCATAGCGGATGGTCTGAATGGCAACGTTGGAACTAAAAGGAAGGGTCTGAAATGGGTCGATGGGGTAGAGCAAGAGGAGCAAGAAATGGAAAAGAGGAGTTTCTTTGACAGCCAACGATCTAGCAGTTTGCACTGCTTTCCTCGGACTGGGACACTCAAAAGGAAACTCACGGCAGTGAAGAGAGAGTAACGGAAAGCGAACATGTACTCTTAAGACTACCCTCTTCCAAATTGTGAAGGACATCTAGGGCTGCTGGGGAAGAATGGGCTCGGCAGCCCGTACCGCTCCTTATAAATACCGTAATCGATCTCTCTAAGGGAGCCGCAGTGGGTTAGAAGTAAGGGAGAATCTCATGGTGGAAGATGCTCCAGGCTTGGAAGGGAAGATCTCAGCGAATGATACTGGAAGCTGGCCTCGCACATCCCCATCCCAAGGATCGATTCAGCTAACAAGGAGGAGCACTGTATAGGTCGTGCTAAAGTATGCAAGAAACAGAAACACTGGAGGAAAGTCCAGATTGCGACATGGATGAAGAAGCAGAGAAGCAGATGAAATAGTTAGTGGACTGTAATTCTCTCCGAATTTCCACAGGAATCGGTAGTGGTTCTTCGGTGGTTACCTATCCTTCCACTGGGATTTCAATCTTCCCTTTCATAGCGAGCAATTGCGCACGATCGGATGCAGCGACGCGAAGTTCAGGGGAAACTTCCAACACCCAGGAATAATTCTTAGAATGAAACAATTTCAAAAAACCTTCAGGTGTTTGTCCACCCTTTTGAAAATTCGCATACGACAGTACGACTGAAGAGGCATTAGGCCGAAGATTTTTGAGCTCTAGTGTATGTGTCGAGATATCTCGAGTCACCGTATATCTGCTTTGTTTGTTTACAATGTTCACATGCTCACCAGATCCTTAAGCGACTCCTTTCTAAAATAGGCAACAGTGATCGACGGTCACGGGGCCCCCTCGGTTTTTGAAACTGCGTAAACGTAAACAACCAGCGCCCGTTATAAATACCAGGCGGCTGCGATGATGGCCACAAGAGGCGGTCTCGTGTTTCTTGTCGCCTGAGTCGCTTATTTTCCAAGTCTTGTGATGTTTAGTTAGAAACTCCTCCTAATACATCTACTTTCGTTAAAATTAGTATATAGTTGTTTTCGTTCCTGTTATTTTGTTTATGTTTATTCAATATTTCTTCTGGATATCGTGATTACATTCAGATACCGAAAAATTTACAAAAATGAGCTATAACGAGACTACTGCGATGCAGCCAGCTGAGGAGCTACGACTGGTCGACGGTCCCACAAACAGATGTGGACGCTATCAGGAACCTTGCTGCAATAATAAGGGACAGGGCTTCGGAAGTGCTGCCAAGGAAAAGTTACAAGATGCCGGTCATGCCATCAAACATACCGCAGAGAACATTGGTGATAAGGTAAGCCGACAAGATTGCTTTTTTCTTGAGCTTGCCTGTTGTCTTTTACTGGATGGACTACGAACACTAATGATCCCAGCTCCACCCATTTCGATGCACGCCCCGCCCACTATAATTCAGCATTACTACCGTTTGCGTTTTCCTTCATCAAACCCTGGAAAGCTGATTGAGTGCAGCTTACCCCTGGCCCACCTGATGTGACTATTATCGAATTTAGTGGAGACTCAAGTATGACATATTTATATAGTAAAGGTATCTTTCAGGCTGGAGAACTGAAGGACAAGGCCATGAACAAAATCCAAGAAGGAGCAGAAGCTATCAAAAGCCACTGAGGAGACAACTAAGAAACCTTTTCCTGTACATATGTAATAAGTCTTGTAATATGTAGTATTTACGTAACATGACAAGGATTAAGAAAACGTTCATTTAATTGTGGCACATGATAGTGGCAGGTAGTGACTATTAGCTAGTTTAAGCAAGAACTTGTAAATAGCAATAGCTGTTTTTTCTAAATAATGGATGTTGTACTGTTGTGGTGACTTGTGTATTTTTGTGCAACGTGAACTGTAGACTTGTACTTTATTTTCGCTGTCTGAAGTATTTCCACTGATGAAAATAAATCTTTCCCAGGAGCATAGTAGGGCCCTGGTGATTAAGAGCAGCAAACAAATGGCAAACTTGGTGCTGAATAGCTTCGTTCTTGAAAAATTTCTTCGCCTGTTTGTCTACACGGATGGAATCTATTCTAACAGATTTTATAACCGGAGAAGTGCCGGAGACGTTGGCCTCTTCATCAACTTCTGAAGGGCCTTGTTAGGTGATCGAGAAGAAGAAAGTTGCGCTATGTATACTCTCCTATCCTCTATTGGGTTGTCAGTCACAGCGTAATAAGCGTTGCAAGCCTCCTATTTTCAATTTAGGCAGGCATTTTCAATTTTTGCAGAACTTTGGAGTCAAAGTCTAAGGGGAATATTCAATCAGATGCCCACATAAGCAAATCACGACATATTGGCCGGACCCTCGAAAAACGGAATAATCATAAGCATTGTGACATGTCTTGTCTTTGTGCGGATGTTTTGTTGTCAAGTAAAACATCTGGTAGAGAACATCTGATTATCCACAATTTTACCAGTTGACTCAACAGCCAATGAACATCTCGCTCCTATTTGTCTCGGACTACAGCTTTGAAAAAGGTGAGCTTGTGGAAGTTTTGCCCCAAATAAGCCTAGTTTTCGCGGGGGAGAAGAGGGAAGTGAGGGAGAATCATCTGGTAGAAGCTGCTCCAAGCTTGGAGGGGAAGGACCCAAGCGAATGATACTGGAAGCTGTCCTCGCAGTTCCCCAAGGATCGATCCAGCTAACAAGGAGGCGCACTGTAAGGTCATGCTAAAGTATGCAACAGAAACACTGAAAGAGACTCCAGTTTATGGTATGGATGAAGAAACAGAGAACGATGAAATAGTGGGGGACGGTAATTCTCTCCGAATTCCCACAGAAATCGGCAATGGTTCCCTGGCAGCTATCTATCCTTCCAATGAGAATTCAATCTTCCCATCTTCTCTTTCATAGCGAGCGATTGCGTGCGATCGGATGCGGCGATGCGATTTTCTGGGAGAAGTTCCCACACACAGAAATAGTTCTTGGAATTAAACAATTCCAAAAAACCTTCGAATGTTTGTCCACTCTATTGAAAATTCGCATACGGAAAGTCCGCATACCACAGTACGACTGCAGAAGCATAAGGCCGAAGATTTTTGAGTTCTAGTGTATGTGTCGAGATATCTCAAGTCACCGTATATCTGCTTTGTTTGTTTACAATGTTCACGTGCTCACCAGATCCCTTAGCGACTCCTTTCTATAATAGACAACAGTGGCTGCTTTCATAGTCCACGACCAGTCGCGCGACCTGTCGCTAGCGACCGGCGACCGGTCACGCGACTGGTCGCTCACAAAATCGTGGACTATGAAAGATCCCAGTGATCGACGGTCACGGGCCACCTCGGTTTTTGAAACTGTGTCAACGTAAACAAACGGTGCCCGTTATAAAGACCAGTCGGCTGCGATGATGGCCAGATGGGGCGTTCTCCTGCTTCATGTCGCCTGAGACGCTTGTTTTCCACAGTCTTCTGATGTTTATTTTTTGAAAGGCCTCTTCGTTGTTCTCGTCCTTGTTATCTTGTATATGTTTATTCAGTATTTTCTTTGGATACCGCGATTATATTCAGATACCAAACAATTCACAAAAATGAGTTATAACGAGACTGCTGCGATGCAGCCAGCTGATGTGCTACGATTAGTCGACGGCCCAATAAACAAGTTTGGACGCTACGAGGAATCCGACTCCACTGACAGGGGCCACGACTTGGGAAGTGGTGCCAAGGAAAAGCTACAGGTTGCCGGTCAGGTCATCAGACAAACCGCAGAGAACATTGGAGATATGGTAAATCGTCCAGCTTACTTTTTCCTTGAGCTTGCCTATTATATTTTTCTGATCCTAACTCCACCCATTTCGATGCACGCCCCGCCCGCCATAACCATTCCGCATTTTCACTATTTAGCGTTTCCTTCAAAATTCGTCAAAATTCAGCCATTTATTTGGGCCCTGGAAAACTCTTTGGTTTCAGCTTACCCCTGGCCCACGAGTATGATATATTTATATAGGGTATCATTTCAGGCTGGAGAACTAAAGGACAAGGCCATGAACAAGATCCAAGATGGAGCAGATGCTATCAAGAGCCACTGAAGAGACAACTAAGAAACCTTTTCCTGTACATATGTACTCCGTAGTACTTAAGTGATATCAGAAGGATTTAGTTGTTCATCAAGTTGTAGCACATGATAGTGTCAGGGAGTAACTATTACTTATATTAAGTAAAAACTTGTATGTTTATAACTATGGCTGCGAATATTTCTTTTATACCTTTTTTTTTTACCTATTTCCGTTGACGTTGGACAGTATGGCATGTGTATGCGCATACTCGTACTGTGAACTTTGTACATAAGTTTCGCTATCTAAAGTATTTCCATCATTGAAAAATAAATCTTTCTCAAGGAGATACTGATGTTTACAAGCGGTAAACAAACAGGCAAACATGGCGGTAGGTAGCCTAGATCTTTGAGAAGTTCGTCATATGTTTGTCAACACGTATGAAACCTATTCATAACGGATTGGCATCAAGAGAGTGTCGGAGACCTCGGCCTTGTCATTAAGTGCTGAAGGGCCGTGGTAGGTGATCGAGAAGAAGAAAGTCGTGCTTCGTATGTTCCTCTATTCTCATAAGGTTATTAGTCACAGCGTAATAAGTGTTGCAGGCCTCCTATTTTTGATATAGGGATGCAGTACTTTGGAGCAAAGAGATATTCGGTCAGATGCCCACATCAGCAAAACACGACATATTGAGCCATATCGTGCCCCAGGACCAGCGAAAAACGGAAGAATCATGAACTTGTGACATGTATTTGTGCGGATCTCTTGCTGTCAGGTAAATCATCTGACATGGGTCATCTGATTATCCACAATTTTAGCAGTTCACTCAACAGCTAATGAGCATCTCACTAATATTTGTTCTCGGACTACAGCTTTAAAAAAGGTGAGCTTGCGGAAGTTTTGCCTCAAAAAAGCCTCAGTTTTTCCACCACGGGACACCCATATACCTAACTCTGACCACTAACACGTAATCAGAACAAATCAGTAGTGCCGAAGCCACGGAAAGACCTATCTGCTAGAGAGTCCCTTACAAGATCACCTCCCGCTATTAATCTCAGTTCTAATTTCTAGGATTTCGCCCACCAGACCACACTTACATAAACATATATTTATGTATCTACGAGTTGATAAGGCGAAGGACTGGACATCGACTACTTTTCCGAAACGGTGATAAAAACGAAATTGACCGATCACCATTACTGCGTAAGAAACTAGTCGTACTAATGGCTTTCCTCTGATTCTGTCACTTCGGAAGATTTTTTTCTTCCTTGTATTTCTTTCAGAAGGCCATAGTCAACTCTCTCGCCTTTTCTAACGGCAAGTGACTCTTCAAATTCGAGGGAATCCTGGCAGTCTCTAACCAATCTATTCTGAGTCATTTTTTGCTGATCTTTATTTACAAAACTTCCATAGGAAGCATGTCACATAATGTTTACATTGCATAAACACAGCATAATATTATATCTACTTTACATACAGTATTTACATACACTCTATACAATTTGACAGCTACCACAATGAGCCAATGTACATAATATTTTCACTAGGACTTGGACTTTAGCGGTCTTGCCGATCACGTTCATTCAACTTGGTTCCTGCCGTAGGAGGATCAACGCCTTGCCCAACTCTTCGATCGACCTGCTCCTTCAGTTTTTTGGCCTGCAAAACCATGAGCTGATTATTTCTTCAGAGCGAAGAATAGGAAATCACTCACCATCTCTTTGTCCTTTTCCGGGATCACTCTGCGGAGATCTTGGGTATCATTCGTGTTTTCTACAATCGACTTGGCCGGATCTTTGCTCTTGTTAGCGGCTTCCGAGTTATTATCTCGAAGGTCAGGTTCACGCTTGTGAACGTCTTGCATATAACCATTCCGGATACCTCGGACGTAGCACATAGGGGCACTTGTCGGGTAGGCTTTTTGTAGAAGAATTCTCATGTTGTTATTCATTTTTGCAGTGTTGCAGAGCGTGTTTGTTCTGCAACGAATGGCCGTCAAACGTGACTTGAAGGCCAATAATAAGTGGTAATCAACGGAACACAGGCAGATTAAGAGGAAAATATCAAGCATAACGATAGAAAAAGGCTGATCGCCGGAAAAGAAACGTGAGGCCATTTTTTCTTCATGGAATAAGTAGGAGAGGGAAGACTGAGGCGTCCGAAAGAACCTCTCCCTGTGGCTTGCAGATCGATCTGCAGTTGCCAACTATTTATATGCGCTGGATGTTTACGGCATACCACGAGCCAACCAGCTTGTTTACGTGCCACGTGAAAACCACAGTTCTGAGTGTCAGAGTAATCGGCAAAATCGTTCCCAACCATCAATGAGGGATCTTTGTGTCCCACATAAAACATGAATGGATACTAGCAAAGTGACTGTAAGTTGAAGCCATAGACGATTCTGCTTCATGCAACGCTCACTCTTTTTTGAACTCTGATCCTTGAGGTATCGTAGAATCATTAGGAACTCAACAGCATTTGTTTTGAAGTTAGCAGAGGTCAGCAGATTGCAACGCAATGATTACTGGACCTACTGCTCTGTTATGCAGTTTCCAACGGAAAACATCAACGACCACGCCCGGACCGTCTATGGTCAATTGGCAAAGATTGGGGTACAGCATTATGATTATGGACGGTACGGAGGTGATCACTTGTTAAGAAGTTATTCTGGAATCAAATACAGCACAGGCAAAAGTTGTAGTGCTAACACACTCCCAACTATTTCTTAGAGCCATAGTTCACGATAAAAATGGTTTCTGAGATTTCCCTAGCATGGGTTTGAGGCTCCCCCTTTTACCATACCTACCGCTATGAGGTCAAACGTCTTGTATGGTACAGAGATTGCATCGTGTGAACGCAACACCCATAGTGGACGAGTTTCAACGGCATTGTAGAGGCTGCACTATCTCAAGGAACTCTCATGTAGCAGGCTCTAACAACCTTTCATGACCCATGGCGACAGCGAAAGGCAGTTTCGGACAATTTTGGCTTGATCTAATCATATCTTTGAGTAATGGGAGCAGATGAAATCTCGTC